TCAAGGTAAGACCAAGAGATCCTATGAAGACATTTTTTCTAATTCATTAAGCAACATGCAATAATGCTGCAGCTACTGAGGAGCCCATATGCCATTTCCTACAGTGTGGTTGGTGGATGCTTTAATCCTACACTACCACCCAGGACTACATTTTTAGTACGAGTACTTCCAGTTGGGATCAAACCCATAGCATCCTCAGTGGTGCATTACTGTATAAAGCCATCCAGAATCACAGCTGTCTGCATCATGCAGAAACAGCTTCACTTTTCTATATACATCACTCATATAAAACATGTCTTCATCATTGGTTTGAAACCCCACTCATGGCATGAGTATCCTTGAGTTGACCCTTAATATCCAAGATGTCTCTCATAGAAAATGCACAGCTGCTCTATAATGTAGAAGGGTGGGGAGAAAACAGTTGGTCATAGCAACCCAAAGCTTCTTCGGTAAATGAGAATGTCAAAAGAGGCTGACGTGTAGCTAATGTGGTTTGGCACAGGGAGTCAGCCCAGTACACATTTGTTCCACAAATGAATGTACTGTATGTAAAACATGAAAAGATATATAGGGGTTTATTGTGTGGCTCCTTTACCCCATAGTTACTGTGTTGGAGAAACATTAAATGCCCCGGTATCTGCCTGAAACAACCACATGTCACAGCTCATAGACACACATCTGTATGAGGCAGCAGGGCAGCCTAGTGGTTAAGGAGACATGTCCATTAATCAGGGAATGCACATCCTCCCTTCTGGTTGGAGAAAGTAACAGAAGTACAGCCAGGTGAGCATGCATCCCTTCTTTTTAACTTAGGTTAAAAAGGTTAAAAAGAAGGGATTTTCCTACTGGAATCCATGAAATAGTAGATTTCTGTCACTGGAGCAAAGGATTACTGGGCTGTTCAGCTTCAGCAGTCTTCACAAACTTAAAGCAACTGACCATTATGAACTATCCCCTGCCTATTCTGTCAGCCTACTGTAAATCATCAGTGGTTACATCCCCTGCATGCGCGCCACAGCCTCACGTCGTCAATGTAGCTTTGATGTTGAGCCGATCCAGATAACATTCAGGTCAAGTCCAAGTTACAGTTCGGCACATTTCTTCGCAGAGCAGCGAGGATGCTGGAGCTGGGTAGCATTAGTTGCATATTTAGCTTCGTCTACTTCTAAGCACGAAATTCGGCGAACCTAAATATTTACCGTGCGCCAACAACCCTAAACAAGTAGGTCAATGAAATATTCATCTTATCACCTCTTATCTGTCAATGTCAAAAGCAGTCAGTCACATTTTAGACGAATATATCGACCTGACAGGCTTCTAACAACGCACCAGATGAAGCAAATCGACTGATGTTCAATCCAGAATAAGAGCAAGGAGATGGTAAAGTGGGACACATCACACTGATCATGTGAAAAGGTCGTCTGCAGGCTGTTAATATGAAATGTTTTCAGCGCTTCTGCTGAGCCAACATCGAGCGGTCTGCCTCCCTGTAGTGAGCCCTTTTTTGGGAGGAGGAACGGCACCTTGAACAACAGCGCCAGGGTTTAAAACACACAGGAAAGCAGTTTATAATGAAAAAAATGAAGGCGAAATCCTACCTGATGTCTGTCACCCTTTAATGCATGCGACCTGGCTTGGACGTAGGCTAGGCGACACACACAGCAAGCGGGTCAGCTCAGCCTGCCTCCTCCACGGAATCAAGCCCCTCCCCGTTTAGCGTACAGTGGAGAGAGATGGAAAAAAGAAAAACGACCGCATATCTATGCGCTGAAAAATGGAAGCAGCGTCACAATCACCCATGGTTTCTGATAATCTAAGATGTAATCAGATCGAGATGGATTTGACTCAAGAGTAGGTTATTGATTGCGATGAGCAAATCCTGCGCGATAAAAATAGACCTTAAAATCATGTAGGTGCATGCATAAAGATGAAGGCACGGAAGACTTGAAAGAGTTCTCTCTTATTTTGAAAATGCTTTGGATTTGTGCTGTGAAGTACACCTGCCAAATGCTTGTCAGCACACCGACCGTCAGTGCAGGACGGTCCTTATTGCTGCGCTCCATCCCACTTTGACACAATTGATGGCACATGGGAGATGATGTTTTAACTGGGATGCTGTCAACCGCAAATAAATATTACACAGAACCATGCAGCACATTTTAAACTAATGGCATCATCAATATTTTTTTTAAACAATGCCTAGCTGGTATGGACGAATTCATAAATAGGCCTTTACTTAACGAGATACTTTTGGTTGGATTAACAGTTATGAAAATCGTTGTAATAATTACAGATAAGTAAATGTATAAGACTAACCTCCCCCTCGCAGTTCATCATCTCAGTGGTTATCCTGTTGTTTTTTTAAACTTGAGCATATACTGCCCCCTAATGCCAATGTTCAGATAGATTGAAGAAGAAGAAGAAGAAGAAGAAGAAAAAGAAGAAGAAGAAGAAGAAGAAGAAGACATAGGCCTACTTTATTAATCCCGCCAGGGGATTTTTTCACTCTGTTGTTAATTTGCATCATACACCACACATCACACACCAGTCTGAAATACACACATATGCACATGCACAAACATATGGAGGGACAGCCGAGCAATTGAATGTAAGGTCTTTATCTGCTACATATTAATACACATTATGGCCTACATTTTTCATGTTAAAATATTATGAGATAATTGATCATCTGTCTCCCTGGTCTGCATGGATATTGATGAGCTAAAACTGTATTACAGGTATCATGCACAAACACATAGCAGACTCCCACACAGACCCACATTAAGCATGTTCTCATCAACTTCAGTTGTGTAATATTTTCTAGCATCTTTTATAATTGACCTCAAATTTATTAGATTCTTACACTTGGTTTGAAAGGTACAAGATGTTTGAGAGGTAAGCTTGAATTACTGATGTGACTTTTGGATTTGGAACATTTTGGAAAACATTTCTGAGAAGTTCCCTCATTTAGGACACTTTCCTGGTATATTGTTAGCACTGACATCATTCTGTCCTTTAGTGCCTGGTAACACACGATAGCCAAGTTACTCCACTTGATCCTTGGCCAGTACAGAGTGTAGCTTTTATAAACAAAATCTTTCCCATACCACTTTTCAATGGAGAGCTAAGGAAAGTCAAGGGACAAAAGTAAAGGGCCCGTCCTTTTCATGTTTGTCTTAATTGGAAGTTTGTCTTAATTGTTTTGCCTTTTGGGAAGAAGAATATCAATTTAAATGTTTGTTTTGTGTATGGTTAATATCTTTTTAGTAGTTTGAATGTCAATTCAAATGTTTGTTTTGTTTATGGTTAAGATCATTTTAGTTGTTTGATTTTGTTTTTTTTCTATGTTTTACTTGTTTTCAGTCTGATGATTTCAATTTTGGAGCAATTAGTTTGTGTGTAAACCAAACCTTTCAGGAACTGTTCATTAATTATTTATGGGATACAAGAGTCAATTGCATTTCCATTCAGTGTTGTTTTTCCCAGCTATCCAAAGGTGCACTTTATGGTTTCTTCTATGGATCCGCATTGACTTAAATTCAAACCTGATATCTTTTTAGTTTAGTTTGGAATTAAATTTTGTTTCCTTTTTATTATCTACCAGAAATCTCCCTCTTTGTCAGTGTTTTGGTTCATTTTTTTAAAGAGAGAAAAAGGAAGTTTAATAAAATCTTAAGTAAAGAGGTAAAATATAATATAAAAAGTATAGTTTACATTTTGTATTATCTTGTCATTTCCAAGTGCCTTTATCATTTTAAGTGTTCTTCTTCTTAACATACATACACACAAAATGAATAGAACTAAAAAAAATTTTGTGATGATATACAGTAAGTTATGTCACAGTATAGACCCAACACAAATTCAGCTTCCTGTCATGCTGGTGATCGTTCATAATGCAGCTGCTTTGTGTCCCACCACAAGAGGGTAGCACTGACATGACAATCTTTCAATAAAGGTTGCAGACCTAAGGCGCAATCTTTATTGTCTATAAATCATATCAATGTTCTCATTGTACTTTCCAACACTGATGTTGACTTTTCAGAAACCACATTATGATCTGCCACCACACACACACACACACACACACACACACACACACACACACACACACACACACACACACACACACACATATATTATACATGTACATATATGTAATGACTGAAACATGTGTATGTATTTCTTTAAAATATTATTGTGATCAGTGTCGATGAAGTACTAAGTACTAACATATGCATAAATATATAAAATACATAAAATATACTAATGCCAGATAGTTCAGAGAAAAGTTATTAACCATTATTTTCACTAAACACATTTAAAACTGACTGACCCATAGGTCTCCTAAACTCAGTAAAGCTAGGCTAGCTTTATCCCTTGAACTTTTGCCACTAAAAGATACACTGAGTATTATCTTATCAGATCACCTCGTTTCCGTTCACAGAACAAGGTCATATACACCATCTAATTAAAAAAAAAATGGAAAAACAAACATGTGAATTAAAAGCCTGCCATTTGCTTAAAAGTAGTTGTTCACTCAAAGTAGTAAGCTAATCTTGCTAAACAGAACAATGGGCTACTACAGGGGCAACTGAGCCCTGTTGTGATTAGGATATTTCCATGGGAACCAAATTGCCAGGGAGAGAGGGAGGATCCTGTTCGAGCAGCACAGGGGGTGTGTGTTAGATTCACTGGTTTGCTGCTTCATTTAAACTGTCTTCATCTCTTTAACAGTCATAGATGTGCTGGTCTTGACAAGACATAACTTCCATCTTCTGTCAAGAGAGCTTTGTGGATTTCTCACAACAGCCTGAACTTTTAGCTGGAGCTATCAGCCCATCCTGTTCAGGACAACCTTGTGGACATATCGTCAGAATATAAGGTAGTAATAATGTCCTACAAAGTTAACATTTGATACAGTTGATATTCTATATTCTAAGATTTTCTTTTATAGACTTTTTTTTTGTCTGTGTTTAATTTCAGAATACAACGCAGCAACTTAAAAGCAGATTTCTACCAGAGGACCCATGTGGGTGGTGGAGAAGATGCGTGGGTCAGTAGAGAGATCTAACCTGCCTATCCCATCAGCAAAAATCAGCTTTAAGATTGGCGACATCATGTTTGGAGAAAAAGGTGACAAACCCAAAATGATTTCCCTCTGCCCTAATGTCATCACCCCTGACAACATCCCAGAGTTCTGCATCCCCCCAACAATCCCATCCCTGCTGGAGATGAAGAATTCGGAGCAGAGTCGAGCTACTCGCATTATCAAGGTGTCTCCCTGTGAGAGGGCTAGCCCTGAAATAGAGGTGACATGCCATGAGTCCATGTCCATCAACCCTCACATTATCCAGGTGGAGAGTGTGGATGAGAGCTCCTACGATGGCTGCAGTGATGAGGAGACCACCAATGCAGATCCCCAGAGCCAGGCTGCCTTGTCCCTTCCACACCTGGCCAAAGCTCAGACCTGCTATGGCTTTTGCACCTTACTGGAGAGCCCCCACACCAGGAGGAAGGAGTCGCTCTTCCACTCTGATCCTGGCTCCTCTCCCCTGCTGCTGCCAAGGAATCGATCTAGCACGTGCTCTAAAGTCTCCCCTTCCACCACGCTCCTCCTCTCCTTCCCCATTCAGTTTCAATACCCTAACCTCCAGGCTTTCTCCAAGAGGATACACCCTGAACTGGCAGGCTACTCTGGACAGCGAAACAACTTCCTCTACTGAATCCTCTCCTTTCAGCTCGCCACTGCTGACCAGGTGCCCTGCCAAGTCTTCCCTCTTCAAAGCACTGAGCCATGAACTGCTGTTGTCAAGGAACATGAGGAAGGCAATGCTGTCCAGAAACAATTCCCTGTCCACAGATGAAGGTAGCTCCACAGACAATAGCCCCAGTGTCATGAGGAGGGCATCAGAGGGGTTAGTTGAGGGCCTACCCAGCACCTACAGCCTGGCACCGCCCACCATCTTCCCCATGGACTTGACTCTTCACAGAGAAAGGGTGATGAAGGAAAGAATGGTACCCATAGGAAAAGATGGCAGCTTGAGACTCTCAGCAGAGTACTGCCCAGATAACCAAAGACTACGGGTTCGACTGATCAGTGCCGAGGGACTCTATCCTCTCTCTGTAGATTCGAAGATTATCAACTGCAGCGTTAGCCTCTCTCTGGTTCCTGGAAAAATCCAGAAGCAACGCAGCACAGTCATCAGAAAGAGCCGTAATCCAATATTCAATGAGGATTTCTTCTTTGATAGTATGTCAGAGGACGACCTCAGCCAGCGGTCCCTTCGCTTTAAAGTAGTGAACAAAATGTCCACCCTGAAAAGAGACTATCTCCTCGGTGACTGTGATTTGCCTCTTTCTAGCATTGTGACATTATAAACCCAAGTACTTCCTTAACTGTTTATTTATTTATGAATTATTTATTTTCATTTTTGTATTTTGAAATTAGATTTTATAACGATTAAATTATGGAAAACACTGAGGTTGTTTGTCTTTAATACATTTAAATATGACTAAGTTTCATTGTAATATCATAGATTTTGTCTGTGTAAATTAATAGGAACAGTTCACCCAGTTTTTATAAATGTAGGCATTTTTAGAATGCAATGCTCAGTTAATTTGAGAAAAACAAATGCACCACCAAAAAAAAGTTAATCTTCGCTTTATAATTCCTTAAAAACAAACTAAATACAACTAAATGTTAATCTAATGATTTGCAGCCTTTTCATTCCTTGGTGTTTTGTGGTTGCAGCATCAGCTGGCATGAGATAACCGGCGTCTCGTATTTCTCCTGAGCCTGTTGTTTTCTTCCTGACCTTTCCAATGATTAAAAATATCACTAGAAACCAGAAACCTTAAAGGGTATGAGTATGCATAATTGTAATCAGTGCACAAAAGAAGCTCTATCTGCTTTCGGTCACACTGTGAAATTACTTATTGTTATATTTCATGACAATTTCAAAGCATTAACAACTGAAGCTGTTCTACAACTTTCTACAAGTTGAATAGCATGAATTTTTCATCAGATATTTCCTAAACCAGACAATGTTGTAAATGATACTTATCAGTAAAACCTGTAAATACTTTTCTTATGAGATAGATCCTTTAATAAAGAGTATTTCTCTTTTGATAGTCACGCACTGAGGTGACAAGGCTACTATTTATTTATTTTTTTACAAAACACTTAAACTCGGCATGACAATAAAAATATAATCTCTCTATGTAATATACGTATATACATATACATGTTTACCCAACTGAACAGAGCAGCAGCTCTTAATCTAGACTCCAGGCAAGTATATCCTGCTGCTTTCAGCAATAAAGATCAGGCTTAAAAGCACCAGCTGCCACTGTAGCTCCTAGTTAAAGATTAATAGGTTTCTCAGGGCTCAGAAAAGCTCTGATAGGGGACTGACAACTGCTGGTTATACAGTATATGACAAAGCAACATACAGTATTGTGAAGAGATGAAGCATTCCATTCACAACGAAATATACAGTAGCTATTGCAGCCGAAGCTATAATTGTAATAAACTGCTGAGAGATTTGTTTTAAAAGCTCAATGGCTGTAATGACCCATGCTTTATAATGCAAATATTTTACTAGATTTTACAGTTTGGATTGTGCCACTGAGAAAAGCCTTTGGGAAAATATAGCTCACGATCCACTTTCAGTTTGAATTACAGATTCAGCGCAGTCACAAAGACCTGCAATCCCCTCACAATTGTTTTGATGGAAATAAGGGTTTTGTGTTTCTACAATTTGTGGCCTAATACGCAGGCTTTTGTGTTGCTGTAATACATAGGAGTATCTCATTTCTGACAAAGAAATCTATAAATATCCTACACAGACACGCTACATTTTTCAACAATACCTCTGTGCACAGAATGTGTTCCCAGATCCTGTGAGGGGGCTGAAACTGTTGGACACTTTTGTATTGAGTGTTGATTCAGCTGTGGAATACCCTGTAATAAATGATCCTTCCCCTTCTTGGTCAACCACTGATAGGATTCAGAGGGATTTCCACTGATCTATCTTCATTCTAAAAAGCAGAAGCGTTGGTTTTATATTACACAGTGGTTACAGCAGCATTAGGGCCTTGATACAAGCTGGTTCTTCCCATACTAAAATGTAATCTACTAGTGGGCACAGAATAAACGCATCAAATAACAGCTTATTAGCAATTCATATTAGCTTTCAGATCACAAGAAACAGGCACTTGAATCTCATGGAAAACTACTATTTCTGGAAAACAGTACAGCTTCACTAAAATGCCTTTCTCTCCTTAAGCAATAGCTGATTGGTCTGGGTTTGTACAGAATTTGCTGGGTTTTGTAGGCCTACTTACTTACTTACACATTACTGATTTTTCGAAGTGATTTGATATTATCTGTAGGAAACATCTGCTTCCCTAAGAGCTGTGCATCATGAATGTAAATGCACAACAGGGGAAGTGCACTGGCTTAATCTCAAGTGTCTAAAAACAGTTGCCTGGTTACCTTCATTCACCAGGAATGTCTTTGCCTAGCTAATGCACATTTACAGTTTCGAAGTAATGAGCTGGAATTGACATCAACCACATTTAGACATGATTAGGTATACGGATCAGGTGCATATTTTGAATGCAACTCTTCCATTTTGCTCTCTATTTGCTGCAAAACCTATTCAGTGTTCTGTTGTTTCTTGAAATGGAAAGAAAATGTTTTCATATCAAGAAATGCAAGCTATCCCCCTTCCCATATCTCACTTGTCTGTTTTACAGCTTCCAACGTAAACGGCTCCTTTCAAAGCACTTTTCTTATCACTGTTCTTGTTTTACCAGGCATAAACCTGAAAATGCCATTGTAATCGTGTTTGACCAATGTAGTGATCAGCTGGTTCTTTACTCCGCTTTCTTATGTTCTCAGGGTAAGAACTGCTTTGGAATTGTAGTGACGAAGGTTAGTGGACCTCTTTTGTTAATTTTTTTTTCCACCTCCCACTGCAATACTTCAAAATATCCTGTAAAAAGTTCTTCTGATGTCATACGCCTGATGTTGTCAGGACAGTATTATGATGTCTAACATTGACAGAAAAGTATGGAACTTCTTTTGTGAGTTGATAAGGAATGGGTTTGAGCTTATAGACTGCATGTACACAGATGACCAAATTATCTGATTAAAAGAGGTCAAAATATTCCATGATGTCGTGATGCTGTGGGTGACTGTTGTCTCAGAGCCATGACATCACTGTTTATGGCCCACTCTTCAAATTGGCAAACACTGTCCTCAATGTTCAGCTTTGCAGCAGATTGTCAAAGTAATGAGCAGGCTTCATGATATATTGCAGCTGCGTCATTAGTTTGTGTGAGGACACATCATGTAAGATGAAACGAGATCAGACTGACACACACACACGCGTGCGCGCGCACAAACACACATACACACACAAAAGCTGGCAATGTCAGATGATGCTCCAAACTTACTGGAGTCCGCAGTATTTAATTGATGTAAGACATCAAAAAATATAGTAAAAAGAAATGTAATTTGTGACACAGTAGCCTATTTGTTTGAGACTAGAACATTTAATCACTCTTGATTTGACTAAACATATCGAACATTTCCAGTATCATACTGACCATTCAGGTCACTCAGTCTGCCTTTGTGTCATCAGTTACAACATATTTTTAACAAACAAAATCAAATTGATGCAACTGCCGAACATATCTGTATAGACATTCCCAGTTTACGATAAGGCCAAGAACAACTCATGCTGTATCTGCACGTAGAAGACTCATCACTTAGCCTGTGCACCTGCTCTGTGTTACACCACCCACTCTATCACTTCAAGCCCTGTATGGAGCTGAGTCCAAGCGTGACCTCTTCGGTACATAACAACCAAACATACTGCAGATCACATCTGATCAGACTTATATAAACAGAACCAAGGTGTTTGAACCAAGGTATTTTGTCTCACCCAGGTAAGCTATTACTCACAAGCATGGCTGTGTGGTTATTATCTTGACAGTACGTCAGCAAAATGCGGGGGCTAATAATAACTCACCATGAGGCCTTGTGTAACACATCAGTGTGTTCATTTCTCAGTTGCCCCCGGGGATATGTCTGATCATAGTTGTGAACAGGCACATGCTGATGGGATGGTTAAATGCATTAGGACAATTAGGACAGGGCTTTCATAATATTGTCTAAATAGCCATTAGTTAGTCCACAGTCCATAATACCATAATAGCTGGATTTGTTTGATTAATGCTAAATTGAGACCATCTAAACAAATCTTAACACAATCATGGTGATTAAACACACAAGATGTAATTTCTAAAGTTAATTTTATTTATTACTTTAAAAGAAAAATGGTGACAGCAGCACAATGATGAGCATATTTAAACTAAAAATGAACTGTGCATGATCAGGTACTGTACATGGAAGGATGACACACACGTCTTCCGGCCTGTGTTTTTCCTCTTCCAATGGCGCCTTCCACTCCCATGGCAACAAGGCCCAGCTCCAGGGGAAACCATGGAGATCCTGCCTTTCATGTGTGAGATGCTTTTATTTCGACTCATGAGTTGATAGAGGCTGTCCCTGTCTGTTTGATTCAGATGCATCTCAGCTTCTTCATGTGGCTGCTTGCATCCAAAGCCAGCTGTCAATAGATCCTTCCTGTGAATCTAAAATGAAGTGGGGGGCAAAGTATGGGTTAAGTGTTGTGAATACTCCACGCCGTTCTGAGACAAACATGCATATACATATAATTATGTATAACTACTTTGCCTAGGTAGATTGAACACATTTCAAATAAAATGTATTCATTGATACACACAAAGAGTTCTAAGACAAATCCACCGATCACACTGTCAAGACTCAAATGTAAGCTTATTATATAATTACCAAGACCATTATCTGTTGTATTTTTAAATAACATTACACTTCATTAGAGAGTTTTGATGATTTTTAAAAACAATGGTGTCACATTATTTCAAATAGATGGAATCTCACTTTGGATCAAAGCTCTTTGTATTGTACTGCATGGTCATTAGCCAGTATGTTTTGTCTGCACAGTCCACGCACAGTCTGGTGCCAGGTTCCCTGAGAGGGAGAGGCAATGAGACACATCTAGGTTTGTCTGTGTCATTTTAACTGTCCTACTTACTATGATCCACTTACACTTACAAACCACAGAGGGGCTTCACAGTCCCGATTCCTTCGACTTTGTTTGTCCTTGACTTTGAGATATAAAAGTTGTGGACCGTAGAGCCAATTGCTTATTAGAGGAGAGTCGATTTATGGACTCTATATCATTTGCCAATGTAATTATCACATTTTAATGGAGAAATCCAATGTCATGGTAGCTCCACAAACACCAAATTCATTGAATTGCCATTTGCATGAATGAACCAGGGAGA